GGGAAAGAGCACAGAAGATCTTGTGCAGAAAGCGTTTTCTGTTTGTTCGTTTTGTTTTGTTTTTTGCTTTGTTTCATTTGGTTTGCTTTGCTCAATTTTCTTTTATAGGCCAGACCTAGAAGTGGCATACAGTGCTTTAAGTCACTTTCCATTGGCTGAAGCTGTCACATGGCCCCACCCAACTGCAATGGGAGTTGGGAAATATAATCTATCTGGGTATCATGAAGAAGAGAACATGGACTTCGGTGGGCCTCCTGCATTCTTTGGTACAATGGGATTGTCATATATTATTGCTATTAAAAGAAATTGAATTTTTCAATTCAAAAATTGCCAACAGCTAAGTTGAGGAGGCAGTAAAGTTTGGCAAATGCCTCTGATTATCTGGTGTTTCTATATCCTCCTTCTACAGAGGCTGTTTCCTGATTTTGATTCCTTTCTCACCTAGTAGGAGTGGGCAGAACAATAGCCAGCTGGAGCTAGTATCACGGAGCCCTGGCAGACAGAGAGCCTTCCTCTAACTCTTAAAAGCATCTGAAGATTATATAACTCAATAACAAGTATTTATTGAGTGTCTACCTCAGACCCTGTTCTAAGAGCTGGGGAGATAGACACGAACAAAAATATTCCTTGTCCTCATGAAGCTGATGTTCTGGTGGGGAAGATAAGAGTCAACTGATAAAAGGAGGTTTAAAAAGACAAGAGTAAGGGGATGGAACTGATCGAAGTTGGTGTTATTTGATATGGATGGTAAGGGACAAGTTCTCTGATAGCATTTGAGTAGACCCACTAGGAATTGAACACATAGTGGCAAATAAGACAGAAGAATTTTCTGATCTTATGGAGTTTTCATTCGTCTGTGAGAAGACAGCCAATAACCAGTAAACAAGTTAGTATCATGTATCAATACATGTTATGAAGAGACTAAAACAAGGAGATGTCAAAAAGAGTGATATGCAGGGTAAAGAGGGATTGGTGTACAGGTAATTTAGATTGGATGCCCAAGAAGCCTCATTGAAGAGGTGACTTTGTAGCCAAGAATTTAATAACAGGAAAGTAGTCCTGCCTACATATGGGGCAGAGCATTCCAGGCAGAGGGAATAGCAGGTACCAGTGCTCTAAAGTGGAGACAAACGTGTATGTTCTAGGAACGGAAATAAGGTCCCAGTGACTGAAGGAGTGTGAGCTAAGGGGAGAATTACAAAAGAGAAAGAGAGAAGTAGGGATCATATCATGTAGGGGCATGGTAAGGAGTTGACATTTTATTCAAAAGACAAGAGGAAGACACTGGAGGGTTTTAAGTGACAGGCTCTCATTTACATTTTAGAAAGAAGGAACATTCTGACTGACATGTGAAGAGCGGATTGCACAGGATTAAGGGTGGGAACAAAAAGTACAGTTCAGAGACTATTGTAGTCAACCAGGTGAGGGATGATGGGACTCAGATGAGTGTAGAAGCAATAGAGATAAATTACATGGGCAGATTTAGGATATGTTTTGGAAGTAGTGCAGATAGGGACTGTATATAGCCTTATCCCCAGGGACAAAGCTGAAGATAACTTCTTGTTTTTTGGCTGGACCAGCTGAGTTGATGGAGATTCCAGTTACAGGGATGAAGAAGAATGGGGAGCAGGGAGGAACTGTGGAGGAAGGAATTATTCTCACACCGCCACACACATACATGTGGTAATGTCTCCAAATTGTGTGACTATATACATGGAAAACAAAAATTTTTGCTTTTTTGTCTAAGTGGGGGTAAGTGTGAATCATGTTTGCTATGGAATGGGAAGTGAGTGTCATTCCCTGCAAATGGGAGATAGCTGAGAAGTTAAAGAAGAACTGGAAGGTAAGGATTGTTTGTTTGTCAGACTTACTTTCCCTAGGGCTCAATAATCAAGGGCGTATCTTCCTTCCTTAACTATCTGTGTCCCCTTTTCCACCCATCTCACATGCCCCAAAACAGTCATTGTTCCTTGGCACTGTGTAAGGTCCTAAATTCTGCTGAAAAACCTCTTTGGGAAAAGAGCACATGAAAAGTAAGAGCTTATTGAAATCATCAGTGAGGACGAGAGCAGTGGCAAACCCAGACTAGCTCAGCACTTCCTCATTAGTGGCCCCTGTTGGGGGGATGAGTGAGGTGCTACAGAGCTGTGACAGAGAGAGCAAAATAAGCGCTAGCAGCCCAGCCACATAAGGTCTTGAGGTAGGAGGACTTGGTCCAGCCTGTAGCCTAATGGAATGACTTTTCCCGTGGAAGGAAAAAAAGCAAATTCTCTCAGCTCCACTTAAGGTCTACAGAATCAAAAACTCTGGGGGTGAAGCCCAGCAATCTGTGTTTTTACAAGTCCTCCAGCTGATGATTCTGATGCATGTGAAAGTTTGGGAACCCCTGCCCTAGGTCGTAGTGAAGAAGGTAGACAGCAAATTAAAATGGAATTAAAGTACACAAATAAAATATTATAAAATTTCTATCACTCATCAGACAGTGAAGATATTTACACACATAACAAAGACAAATTGAAGCTGATTGTCTGGATTATGGTTTTTAACAAGGAATTTAAGTTGTAACAGATTACTCGAGCTTTCTAGGCCTTAAATAAATGTGTATATATATATATATATTTGGGGAAAAAATGACTGGCACTTTTAAATTAGAAAACCTCACTGATTTAGTAGTTTGTCTCCTTTAAAGTAAGATTTTACTTATGAGATGCTTAAATTGAAGCAAATGTATTTTTGGTAATGATCTTATTATTTTTCATTTTTCCTAGACTATATTCAGTTAAGGATATAAAATAATCTTGAAAACTTTTTCCTAACATGCTTAAGTTTTTTTAAAAATAAAGCAAATATGGCAATAGCCACTTGTAAATTAAAAGAATAGCTACCTCTTACATAGAAGAAATAACTCATTCATCAGTAAAAATATTTCTTTCTCTTGGCAAAGGCAACGCTAATTATTTTATTGTGTATTTGTACATCTACCTTCAAAAGTCACCAAATAACAACAGTAGACAGCTATCCAAAGATAAATTCTGAAATGTGGGAAAATGGTGAAGTAGAAAGTAATAGGGGAAAAATAAAATAGCATCAGTGATACTAATAATACAGTGCTAATATAACATTTCTATTAATTGGCAGATGCATTATAAGGGTAGCTTTCTGAATTTAAGAGAACATTAAGAACCAATACGTATTAGAGTATTTGTATTCTGCATTTTTACATGCAAGGAGCAGAAAAAATTATAGTTAAACATATAGCCGTATTAAGTATTCATGGTACAAGGGATAAACAGGTAATTAAAATCAAAAGGTAACCCTAGAAACCTGGTTTTTGTCATTAATTTCAGTACCTTTTTTCTCATAACTTTCACTAGAGTTTCTGTTCTGTACCTTAAAAAGGAAGAAAATTCTGATATGCTACAACATGGATAAACCTTTGGGACTTTATGCTAAGTGAAATGTCAGTCACAAAAATACAAACACTGTATGTGTCTACTTATATGAGGTACCTAGAGTATCAAATTCATAGAGACAGAAACTATAACGGTGGTTGCCAGGGGCTGGGAGTAGGGGAGGAGTGGAGAGTTATTGTTTCAGGGGTATAAAGTTTCAGTTTTGAGAGATGAAAAGAGTTCTGGAATTTGGTTTCACAACAGTGTGAATGAATGTACCTAATACTAATGAATTGTACACTTAAAAATGGTTTTGAGGGTAAACTTTAGGTTATGTATATTTTACCACAATTTTTTAAAAAAAACCTTGAATTCTGTAACATACTTGTTCCCAAGGGTTTTAGAAAAGAAACTGTGGTCCTGCAGTGATGAGCCGCCAACTCTAAGTCAAGTAAGAAGGGAAGTGAGAATGTGAGGGGAATGATGAGCAGTAAAAGGGACAAATAGACTTGAGGTCCTGGTGGGACCGAAGTATTGACGGAGTAACCTGGAAAGCATCAGAGGTCATTAGAGCCTTGGAAACTTGAAATTTTAATTTGAAAAAGACATAGTCCAGATTATGACTATGGGAGTAGAGAGGAGTGTGCAATTCTTGGAGCTAACAGATCTAAATAACAGAACTGAGAGGCTAGGATTCATGGATACTAAAGTCTCTAAGAACAATGACAGGAGCAGAGTTGGAGACAAAGACCATGGGCTACTTCTCTGTCCCCATCTCCTATTACTCTCCCAATGAGAATGTAGCAATAAGGAGGAAGATGGATACTGACCACCCCAACTAGGACCAATATTATTTTGCAATGGGAGAAAATTTCCAAGAGGGCTACAGGGAAGGAGTTCTCAGGAGACAACCAGATTTCAGTTAAAATGAAGGTAAAGGCAGCATTTGGAGAAGTATGACACCAAGATAGGTGATTAGAAAAAAAATAAGAGTCCACGGGATGGAGAATCCACCCATTTTATAATGAAAGTCTTAGATGGTAGCACCATATTTAATTAAATCTGTAAATCTTTATAGTATCTACCATATGCAAAAAAGTTTGACAAGACACTTTCTTACCCTTTAGAAGCTCACAATCAAGTTTAAGCAATATCAAATGGAGGTTTCAAAAAGCTAAAAAAAATTAGAATCTTTTGGAAATTCCAGATTCCAGTGACTGTATTTGGTACATGGTAAGCATTGTGTTGAATGAATGAAATTTGTAATACAAAGATCTTTTAAATTTGAACATGCTTGGTTATTCTAATCCATAAAATGGGGTTAATAAGTAACCATTTAAATAACTAATTAACTTCCTTTACAGAAATGTTAGGAGAAATGAATAGTATATGTGAAGGAATTTTATAAAATTTAAAGTATTACATAACTGTAAGACATAAATCAAGGTACCAAAATGTGTAAAAAAAAAAAAATCTAACTATTAGAACAATAACAATAATCTCAAAAACAAGCAGAATGTGTCTGCTTAGGTGAAGCAGAGAAAGGAACTGAGGACTCTGGGAACTCTGGTGAAACTGTACAATCCTGCGAGTTGGGCTACTTTTTCCTTGTTTTCAGAGTTTTCACTGTTGCTCTTGGTAGCGGTGGTTGTCATAATGGTCCCTCAGCCATACACTTGAATTGCTACATTGTGCGGCCTCAGTTACTCTGTGGTAGGACATTAGATATCTGAGAGTCTACCCCCGCTCTGTGATCATGATCATTCTTTAATACTGAAGGAAGTAATACACAGAACTCCTGAAAGTATTAGATGCTTAACACAAAACAAAGTGTCTTTAAACATTATTTTAAGTGTGAATGTGTGTTTTAGAAAGTGTGTGTTGGGGGATGGAGGAGTAGATGATACTCTTGTGGATTTAGAGTTATAAAGCCAGAAAGAGAAAACCTAGGTAAAGAGTAGCTATACGTAGGTGAGTGTTTAAAAAAATTATGGTGCAAATAGTAATTATTATGAAAGATAACTAGAATTTACCATGTCTATAGTAGAGGTAGAGCTGGGCAGAGAATGTTTTCAGCCAGATAATATCCTATTTATTACAAAGGAGTCATGAAACAATATGGCAAGTTGAGTGAATTAAGGTTACTTGATTCTGGCAGTAGTAAAGAATGGATGTAAGGGACTTTGCATTAGAATCATTTGCAGTCTTTGGTCTTTTCACTTCTGCAGTCTGTGCTCTATGAGGTTGGTGCTAAGGAAGGTAAAAAAAGAAGAAACTCCGGGGGAATTGAGTGAGATATACAGTTTACAAACAGGCCACCCTGGCATGTTTTCCATCTTTGACAGGAAGATAGTGCTTTTGTTTTCCAATATTCTAAGATCTCTAGTATAGTTTATAGTTTTCTATTTTGCTTGGCTGTAATGGGTAGAGCTGGGGTCCTCTCCCATATTTACTGTATAGGCCTCATCTATTAATCTCACTGGAGAGGATGCTTATGGGCCTGAGTAGCATCCTTGGTCCCAAGCAGTAAGGAGGTCCTCGAATCCAAAGGGAGCTTTTATATGTTATTGGGCAGGCACTACAAATCATAAGATAACAAGGAAAGCAAGATGATCTGATGAAGCAGATGTCCTTCAATCTCCTGCTCAAGGACAAACTGAGCTTTATGCCAAGGTCACTTCTATTTCTGCAGATAACAATCCCACTGCTAATTATGGGATGTGGTAGTTATGGGGAAAAAGCTAAATTTGCAGGGGTTTAGAAAATACTGCAGTGTAGAGAGTTTTTAATTTATATAAACATTTCTTCAAAGTTTACTTCTTTAATCTGGATTTAAGATTTATTCATTAATTCAATTAACATTTATTGAGGGCCTGCTATGTGCCAGGCACTGTTCTAGTTATTGGGGTAATAGCAGTGAACAACAGAGACAAAAACCCCTGCTCTCATGGAGTTTATATTCTAGTGGAGGGAGAGTGACAACAAACATAACAAAATATGTTATTTTAGGGCTTCCCTGGTGGCGCCGTGGTTGAGTCCCCCTGCCCTGATGCAGGGGACACAGGTTCGTGCCCCAGTCCAGAAAGAACCCACAAGCC